TCTGTATATATTGCGAGATCTACTCACGGGATAAGGTTGGACAACAGTCAACATGATGGATTCTTTGCAGCTCCTGGAACAAGAAGACAGAAAACCGTAAAGTCAGCGAAATCATGAAAAAAGAAAAAAACAACAACAAAAACCCAATGATTCCACTCAACAACAACGGCAAATAGGCAAATAAACAACAGGATCTTGATTAGCCTGGGTGACATGGAATTGAACGCCTCGGGCAAACACTGCTTACAACAGACACAGTTAAAACCAAAAGCACACAGACACTCATTACTTTCCCCATTTAATTACAAAAAAAGGGGTTGTACTTCCTGTGAAGTGAAACACAATTTGTTTCGTTGCGCACTGTTTTCATTGAAAGAGCAAAAAGAGTCTCATTTTTCTTGTTATTTATTCAGAATATGTTGGGGTGACAAGCAGAACTGAGTTAACTAACTACTGAGCAGGCGAGTGGAAAGCATCGCTAACACTTGGAAAGAAACTTCATAATTTTAAAAGCAAATGAATGATAATGACTTTCGTTTCACCAATGTTGTTGTGTTTTTGTAATTAACTTTTCAGTTTTTTCAACCTGCCATTTAAAGGGACCCTAAACGCTTTACCTGGAGCTTAGTTATCTTTTTGTTTCAATTACTTTTTTTGGGCAATCTAGTGCAGAGATTGTTGCTTAATGTGACATTATGTTACGCTACTCTGTGTGACTCTGTCACATGTCTGCAGTATAAATTCTCCCATACTGTACTCACTTTATCCAACAATGTGATCTATCTATCTGTCTATGTATGCTGCTTCAGACACACTCACTTTGGAAAACTGCTGAGCCTTCCAATGCAAACAGCAAAGTCTTCTGATTATAACATTCATATTCTGTCATATACTCTCACTTGCTAGCATAGGTTGTACTTAATAACCTCCAGAACTGCCTTATTTTTTTGTGTCATAGATTTAACGAGATGCTGGAAACAGCTTTGGTGCATATTGACATAAAACTGCGCATTTGTTGACTGCACATCCATACCTCCATCTATACACTGGATTGAGATCTGGTGACTGTGGAGGCCGTTTGAGTTTAATTAACTTGTTATCAGATACCAGTTTGAGATGATCTGACTTTTGTGACATGGTGCGTTATCCAGCTGGAAGCAGATGGGTGGTCATAACACGATGGACATGGTGAGCAACAGGAAATTTGTGGTCCTCAAATGGTACTAAGATACCCAAAGTTTGCCGAGAAAATAACCCCACACCATTAAACTACCAGCGGCAGCCTGAATATTTAACAAAAACCCTCATGGATCCATGTGTTCATGTTGTTTATGCTGAATTCTGACACTACAACCTGAATGTCACAGAAATTGAGATTTATTTTCCAATTTTGGTGATCTTGTACAGATTTCAGTTTCCTATTCTTAGCTGATGTGGTCTTCTGCTGCTGTAGCCCATCTACTTCAAGGTTCAACATGTTTTTGTTCAGAGATGCTCTTCTTAGTTAGAGCTGGAGTTACTGTTGCCTTCCTGTCAGCTCAAAGCAGCCTGGCCATATCCAGTGAGCTACAGAACTGTGGCTCACTGGATATTTAATCTTTTTTTGGAGCTATTTTCTGTACAAAGTGGCTGGTGAGACTATATACACTGTTACCCTGGTTGATGCTCATATAAATTATTCAAAAAACATGAGCAATTTTTCAAACAGCAAGGCCCACATCGCAACAAGTCATCCCAGTCTACTCTAAACACTGGTTTCAGACAGTATTTTCTACTTGTGTATCTGTGTGATGTAAAATAGAGGTAATATCATAAAGAAGTCATCCAATGAAAAGCGCTCTAGCTTTGGGCTCAACAGCCCCACCCACTGGCTGTTCAGACTTGTCATTTAAGAGGGGCGGCCAATCAGAAGAAAGTTCCCAACAAAGGGAAAGGCAAGGGAAAGCAGCAGTGGATAAAGTGTCAGGGGGGAAAGTGTTCTTTAAATGTTATTTTTCACCAATCTGGATTTTGTATCTACCTGACGAGATCGATGACTCGTTCTCTAGGAGCCGAACTGACGGGTTCGTCGTTTATCATGATGATCTCATCACCCGGCAGCAGCTTCCCCTCTGATGGACCACCTACCAACATACAAACACATGCAAACAAGCAACAGCTGATCAAAGCGCTCCATGAAAGCAGCAGGCAGACAGATGTAGTCTAGCCAGCCAAAGATTACCTGCAAATAAAATCAAGAGTAATTACAGCTAAATTGACAAGGCGAATGAGTGTGTGTGTGATTTTTGCAGATGCGAAATGTGCAGCTAATTTGCAAATACTTTGTTGTTTGTGCTCGTCTAGACACGTGTAATAGGTGTAAGCATTAATCTACTCTCTGCAAGCACATGCGTTTCTTTACTTGGCCAACCATTGTAAATAGAATATTCATCAGTTCAATTGTCTGCTTAGGATTCAGCACTGATTGATTATTGAGATGCCTAATCACTGTCTGCGTCCGTGCAGCCAATGGAGCTGACACTTAATAAGGGTTTGTGAACTGTTTGTTTGGCAGCAATGTGGCAACCTGCCAGTCAAGCCAAAGTTTGAGAGGAAAATAGACTTCCAAACATGAATTTGTGTTCATGCTTTTTCTTGCCTGTGGCTGCCTACTTGAGGCAAACACAGCCCAACAGAGCGCACGGTTTCCTTCAGCAGCAACTATTTGATGTGCTGATCAGAACCAATCAGATGGGGAGAAAGAACTAACAAAATAAGTCAATCTGCACACAGACGACTACACTAGCTAAGCTGGAGGGCTCATTTTCCTACTTTGTTTCTAAGTTATATTATTGGCTTTCTTATCAAATCTTAGCAGAGGCAGATTTGCTTTCAGTAAGTAGTGACTCTGAGGACTATTCTCCTGGCTTTCCATCACTGGACTTCTGACTTTACACTGGGAATGAAGTTTTTGTTGCTCTAAATGCTTTATTGTGATTTTATTTTTATATTCTTATTTATTATAATATTAAATCAATTATTTAGACCACTTTAAGCTGAGACAAGTGGTAAAATCCAATCAAAACTGATTTAAATATTCCAAAATAAAAATACAATGTTACACTTAATAGTGCACAGAACGTGAGGTCTGTTTGGCTAAGCCTAAGGAAAAAAGCACAAATGGATGAACATATTGTATTGTCTCTGATTATTTGACATGTGACGGACAGCAAGGCGGTTGTCCCACAGGCATGCCGAAAAAGTGAGACAGAGCCAAAACTCCCACACGGAATAAAGCTGTACTTGTATAGTAGAGGTGTATCACTGACTACTGTGTTAGGGGTAGGCAAGTGTACAGTTAGTTTGCAACTAAATAAAATTATAACAGTTGCCCCAATGAATAAATAAAAGTATTCATTTTAAAGATTGTTAGTTTAAGCCAATCTTGACACCCACCTGGTGTAACAGAGCGGACTACCACCGGTTTCTCACTGCCTGCCACAAAGCCGAAGCCCAGGACTGGGTCCCGTCTCATCTCCACCAGACGAGGGGCAGGAGGGACCCCATCTAGGTGGACCTCCTCCAGGGAGCTGCTCTGCGATACTTGGCTAGAAAATACAGAACGGAAGGAAATTCAAGTAGAATTCCAACACTAATAAACAGTTTTTTGATTGATGTATAGTACTGTGCAAGTGAAGTTGAGCAATAGTTCTCCAGGCTTTCTGAAGGTCTTTCAGAGTTTTTCTTTGGATTTTCCAACTCACTATTCCCATTTCCCAATTCGTTCCCATTTATTCAGTTTAACCTATAAACATGTCAAAAACCACACAGTTTGACAGACATAAAATACTATTTTTATATCTACAAAAGTATTTTCAAAGAGCTATTTACTGAAACTTGGTATATATCTGCATGGTGCAAAAGTTAAAAAGCGCCCTAAAAACTGAAATTTTTTCTTAAAGGAAGATGCTATGGTCTGATTGTTGGAGTTTTCTCTCTCTTACCTTACCATTTAAAGCACCTTGAGGTGACAGTTGTTGTGATTTGGTGCTATATACAGTAAATAAAAGTGAACTGAACTGAATTATAGCAGACATACAGCTGCTGGCTGGTTTTCAACCGGATTTAAAGGCTGAGAAGCAAAAAATTCAATTCAGTCAAGGCTCATGGGTACTGTATTTTAGTACTAAGTGCTATTATGACATAATAAACATTACTTCTAAATTTTCTAACAGTTAGAAGCCATGGTCAGTGCCAGGGGCACCACCAAGGTGGGGCCGGGGGGGCACTGGCCATCCCCCAAAATTTGCCCCCCCCCGGCAAGACTATACCAAAACCAGTAAATAGTTGGTTTTGAAACACACGAAGGTCTCTGTGTGCTGTTTGAAGTTTCAAAAGTCTTATTTCCACTGAAAGCACTACTGATCTAAGTGATTGATAGCATGTGTTTGCCATGTTATTTATAGTTATTTGATCCGTGTCAGGTTGCAGAAAAGCTTGTTTGTTCTTAACATTTACTCCATTCTCAGAGACTGAATCTTTGGCTTCTTCTGGTCAGCTCTGCTGAAAATTATTAAAGCATGGTTGGGACCTTAAATCACTCAATCAATCAATTAATCAATCAAAATAGATTATTATGGGTTTCAAAATCTTATTTGGTTTTCATATGTACTTTTCTCAGTGATATAAATTTATATCAAAAGCAGGAAATCAACTAGGCATATATTTTTTCTTTCTCTCTTTCTTGACATATTTTTCAAGTAACCTATATTTGACAACAGCATAATACAACTGGAAATTCTGTTTTTGGTGTGCCACCCCAATATTTTTAGTGGCCTCCATCCGGGCACCCTATGGAAAAATTCTAGAGCTGCCCCTGGTCATCGCATGAGATAACAGAATAGAGCATTTATTCAAGAGACTCCAGTTAATTCATGTGAAAAAAAAGCAATGGGGAAATTGTTCTGCTACCCACGAAGCTGCCTGCTTTGCAATTATATTGAGTAAATAAAGGAAGGTTACTGTTTGTTGTTTGGGTGTAAAAAGATTGGATGGGATTATGTAAATCTACCCCACAAAAAACAAGCTTAGAAACATCATTTTGTATAATATAATTTTCAATATCTTAAATTTGATTACATTATTTAAAAAGGCAAAAAAATAAAAAATAAAGGACGCCTTTCCTTTAACTTTGGCTTTAATTCACTTTCAGTTCAGAAAATTTGCTGACCTACTTACGAAGAGTGACATAAAATAAGTTGCCAAATAGTTTCTCTTCTCGATGACATAATGGGCACAATGACTATTACAGGGATCAAATCTGTCCCGCAGGATAAAGAAGGTTTTCTTGGAGAACATGACTGAATGCACATTAGAATTCAATCACTAAATTTCAGTTGTACAGAAGAAATCATTTTAGCTGAGACAGAGATCCTTAAACTTGGAATGAATGATATGAGCTGTGCAGTCAGCTGGTCATAAATCAGTGCTCTGGCTCAGGTTTCAAACATTTTATGCTTAAAAGCCACTTATAGAAGAGAGTACAGGTCTTCTGTTCACTTAATCGCTCAGATTTGCAGTCTGGAAGCAATTTGTCTTTTGAAGCTGTATAAAAGTCTGCAGGCTGTTCAGGATAAGAACAGTTGGCAGATCTCTTTCATAGATGACCTAAGCCTTCCTGAATCCTTCTGAGGAGCGGGAAACACCAGTTCCAAACTAACATAAGCAACAGAGACACACGGATACAGCTCAAGAGATAACTGAGGTGGCAAACTGTTTGGAACATGGACAAAGTAAGGAAATATAAGTGTTGCAAAGAAGGGATCAAATGTATATTTCTTTGTTTTATTTTGAAGCAACAATTACTAATGTGGTTAGTAGATGGTTATGACCACACATACACAGACTAGCATTACAAAAACACACTTTTAAGCTATTTATATTTTTTGTAAATGTAAATTTCATCTGTGCGTAACTTTTATAATTATAGCATCTGTAAGCGATGCTAGCATCACAAACTCAAAATGCTTTTGTTTAAAGATAAAAGTCATTAGCTCAGGAAGATAAGTGGTGGACCCAAAAGTTTGAAGTTTTGACTCAGATTTTCATTTCTTCTCATTCTTTTTAATCAGGAAATGTTTTATTTGACTGTATTCCAATCAGTAATGAGATAGCATAAAACAGTTCTTTAACACAGTGCATGTTAGCTTTCTATTGCTAACAATGACATCCAGGAGATATTAAAGGAGCAACTTGAACCGATGTCAGTTCAGCTTTTATTTTGGGATCTTTCAACCGTGCCAAGACATCTAGTAAAGGCAGCGGGCCAATGGGTATTTAACATCAAAACATTTGCTAGGAAGATAATAAAATACTAGCTTTTACTCACCAAAACTAGCATACAAAGTTTTTAGACTGTCTGCTCCACATATAAAGCATATTTTTTTATTGGATAATTCTATTAAAAATGCTCTTAAAACATGCCAACAATACAATCTCAATGGAGCGGTCCAGTTCAATGAGTTAATTAGGAGCAGCAGTCAGCAGCCATGTGCCCCCCAGGACCAACACTACTTCTAAGGAGGGCTTTAGTGCATGTTTTGGCGCTTGGAGAGGAATCCAGTGGAAGCACGAGAACATGCAAATAGAAACACCCTGCATCAGCCAGATCTTCTTGCTGTGAATCAATAGTTCTCTGCTGTTGGCGGCTATATGCGGTCACCTCTATTAAATATAGGTTAATATTAAATTTTTCACATCACCATTTTCTTTGTCTTATTGCAAGTCATTGCACTCGGGGTGAAAGCACCACTAAAATGTAAATGTACTGTATTAAATTACTTCTTGCCCGCAGAACCTCAGACGTCTGTCTCAGCTGAGACACTGAGAATGCAGACTGCCTGTTAATTAAGAGCTGATATACACTTTCAGTGGGGTTAACTCATTCTTTCTGTCTCTATCCTAGCTCCCTTTCTATTTTGCAGCTTAAAAGGCTCCCTTGGCAGCTGCTGCTTCCTGTCTGCACATAAAGTCCAGTACAGGGTGTCTATTGTTGCCTGGCCAGCATCCATCCCATTGTTCAGTGCCTACAATCCATACAGTAGATCATATGAAATTTCTGCCTCGTGCATACTGACATTTATGTGCAACTATATGAATACTCACAAAAATAATTTCTTTTACTGTCTCAGGTGGTTTGAGACTTTTATTTAGGAACCAGTGAAATATATCTATTTATTATAGTATATCTACAGCTTTGCCTAAATCTGCTCAGATGATGAAACACGTTCCAAGCATCCACAGTATACCTTCATCTCTGACCAATCAATCTGAATCTCTGCCCCACTTCTTTTATGCCATTTATTCCACATTCTCATTCCCTAGCCCATTATCACATTGATCTTTATTGTACATTCGGCACAGAAATCTCAGAGTAAATCTGTCCGTGACAGAGCATGTTCCAATCTGCAATGCCGGTTCATATTCCCCGTCAGGATCGGTGGGATTTAATCCCGCAGAAGGAAAGACGAGGTCATCACGGAGTCAAGGGAAAGCTGGAAACAAAAGGTCAGATCCTGGTAATGTTTCTGAAATTCCAGGTTCTTGCCTTACTGGAGCGGTAGCCATTACTGAGGTTTCTACCACTAGGCCTCAGCCGAGTGTGACACATGGTAATAGATGCAAGAGAAATAACTGAACGACTGAGCAAAAAAAAAAAATAAAAAATTACGAAGTTTATTAAAAAACAAAACACGATTCCTGGAAGTAATGGCTGGCTCTCTTCCTTTCAAGCGCAGATTTAAGTGAGTGCATTTAAACAATAGAGTCATCTTTCATCAGATAATTTCAATAGATACCCAACAACTGGGCAAAAAAATGTAATACAGTCAAGAACAAAGAAGAGCATATTAGAGTTATATAACAGGCTTAACAGACCCAGCTAACCTAGTATTGACTATCAGGTACCACACAGTTTAAAGGTGTATGCTGCTATAAAGACGTGAAATTATTGATTCAGTTTTTCTGTTCTGTTTAAATGATTGGGCTCGAGTCATTGGACATATGACTTATTGATTACTAAAAAACAAGAAACCTCTTGTCAAAAGAAAGCAGATTAATAGTGGAAGTTAATAGAAAATGCTATGGTTTGTAAAATACACACTATCGCAAAACCACTTCAAAAAATATGGCAAGTATATACTGGCTAATAGAGACAAACTCATTTGTTATTTGGATTTTTGACATTATTTATAATTGTTTTGGGGAAGCGCAAAGGAAACGACAGCAGGGATGGGTGAGTGATGGGTATATCTGCAACTTGGCAGCTCATCTCAGAGCAAGCCATGGCTCTTCTCTTGACAGGCTGTGCTTCATGAAAGCAAAGTTTGTGGCGAGCTTTTGACTTACTTCCAATTTACTTCCAATGCCTCATACTATAAATGAATCAAGGAAAGGGCAAAAGGCCAGTGTGATGGGCAAGATTTGATTAAAAACAGTACAATCACTGAAATGTAATTAAGAAATAGTTTAGCTTGCTATTTATATATTATAGTATTTAATGGTTCTTGGGCAACAACTGTAATAATCTAAGTTTTCAAAATCCTGAAAACTAAAGCCCTCGTAACACAGGCCTGGAGACCAGTCAGTGATCCCACGGCAACTATCAATTCAAATCAATTCATTTTTATTTATATAGTGTCAAATCACAGCAGTCAACAGCAGTCATCTCGAGGCACTTTATGCTGGAAAGTAAAGAACCAAAAATAATAAAGAGAAAACCCCAAAAATCAAACAACCCCCCTTTGATCAATAACTTGGTGACAGTGGGAAGGAAGAACTCCCTTTTAACAGGAAGGAACCTCAGAGAGAACCAGGCTCAGGTCTGCTGTCTGGGGTGATGGGAAGATGACAGTATATAAGACACACTGCAGAAGAGAGCCAAAGATTCATAATAACCAATGATTAAATTGATTATTAAACTAGAACTACAGGTTGCTAGGGAAAAATGTATTGCCACGGTTGCCTGTGAAGTCGCCAAGTTATCTGCAAACACTTGCCAACTGCTAGCTTACCGGTGGTAAATTTGTGAAGGGTATGATGCAAACGACAAACAGAGACTGTTCACCTTCAAAGTAAAAGCTGGGCCTTTTGAAATGTGTTGGCAGCAGTAATAAGGCACAGTTTCACTGTGAAGAAAGACTTGTGTTTTCTCTTTCTGCTTTGCTTCACACTTTTAATTTTTTTTAACTATCATTCACTGAATAGTTGACAAATATTTGCAGACAACATCTTCTACACAAGCACCTTTTCACCACCGATTTCAGCCAGCGACAGGCACCAACCTCCAGTAACCAGTCCCTAGCCAGTTGGGAAAATATACATTCTTCCCTAGTGAATGGAGGTTAAAAGATGGTTACAGAGACCGGTCTCTAGGTCTGTGAGACCTAAGGGACTCGTCTCATGTTAATAGAGAAATCAGAAATCTTCACAGAATCCCAAAGACTCTACACGCAGCTGAGCATGTGCATAGTGTTCTTTATGCCAGCACCTCGCTGCCAGTGAGTTGAGCATGTCCTTATGGCAGGAGGTGTCTTCCTGCATGACAAATTTGCAGAGACAACAGCCTGCATATGCACTGATGGAATGCAAATTACCTCAAACAATGGCTACTTTTGTAGGCCGCTGAAACAATGCCCACCCCACTGCTTTGGGACTGTTACACTGCTTCATGCATACTGCATTTCCACTGTTGTTTATATTCCTTTTTGACAGCTATTTAAATATATAACTGTTCACTGTGTTAATCTCGTTAAAATGACGTTAACGCCATAACCGCATTAACGCGGCAAATTTCCATTAACGAGTTAACGCTAATGGTTT